ATTTTTAGTTTAATAATATAATTTTTTTAAATATAATAACTAAGTATTTTGTTATCAATCAATGATTATCCTAACTAATTTTTAGATTTTTTATATTTAAAATGAGATATTTATATCGTAATTGAATATGTTTATATGCAATTAGTTACACGAATTAAAAAATAAAGCTTTAATAAGTTGTATTTACGCACAAATTACTTGTAATCTTTAATTTTAAGTAATATGCATCAATAAGCAGTACTTCATGCATAAAAATGATTTTTAAAAGTTGTTATCAAATGTTTTATAATATAGTATAGATGCTAATTTTCTTAATAAATCGTGTGAGTTCAAATTGGAATTTACAATTTAGGCCTTCAAACCCTTTAGACCCTCTGCAGTCATAATCTGAGCAACCAGATCGTGAATGAATCAAAAAGGGCTCTTAAAAAATCCAATGAGGAATAAAAATTCCCTTGTGGCCACGAAGGTTCAAATGCGGCGACTCCAGTCTATCTGCAAAGCAGGTGGTCGTCCTGTGATTAGTCGACTCACATAAGGGGTTGGATATCCAGGTTAATAAAAAAAATTAGATACATGTATATACAAGAAAATTCATAATTTTCAATTTCTTATAGATAGAGCACAGTATTGATATATTTTCATACTTACTTTTGTGATTTGTGATTTCAATTGTATGATAAAAAAAAATTATATTTATAATTACGTTTTAAAATAAAATAAAATATATAATTTCTACAATATTATATTTTAAATCGGATTGAATCACTGTTAAATGAAAGAAAAAAAAAACGAGATTGAGTTGGAATTGAAGATTGTGTAGGTGAATGAGAGAGAAAGTATTATTTTAATTGAGATTGGCTTCAAAAAGGATTGTGAGTAAACATAGTATTAGTATCTGTATAAAAAAATTTGTAACTGATAATCCTCAAGCAACCTCATAAATCAGGTCTACAATGAATGTTAATAAGTAGTTCAATCTTCTGAGTGGTGTTTATTTACCAGAGTTGCTGACGATGAGTCGTAAACTTAAGAGTTTTGAGACGACATTGTATTGTAGTAGTATGTGTCTCGTCTACTGAATAACACTTTATTTAGTGTAATCGCATATCGAGATGGGTCCAAGGAGAAAGTGGAGTAAGACGACGAGTTTGTATTTTTTGCGAATTGTTATGTTGCAAACGGGTTTTCAAAAACTATAAAACTGACGTAAATTATAAAAAGTCAAACAACTTATTAATCCCGTTTAGATTGTCTGTGATGACAAAATGAATATACAAAGAGATTAACGCACGTGACTTAATGTAAAACTTCATGATATAGATTTATATTTGGTGCATATCCAATAATTATGCGAATAACTATAAATATATAGTTGAGAAAGGGTTTTACTGCTTTATACTCAGAGCGTGTGCATGTAACCTTTTGAACGACCTTTAACTGATTGTGCTAGTATCAAAACCCATGTTTTATAAAATAAAATAAAATAAAAACATGCATTCTGATTATAGTATACGTAAATCAGATTTATACATTCACATTGGTAATTGATTTTACGATTTATTATTGTAACATCGTAAATTTTCACTTATATGGCAGGTATATATATATATATATAGGCTCATTTAAGGGATAACTGATTAATTTGTGGTAACCGTGAGATTTAATGCGAACCATTCATTTGAGATATTTAAATATATTTTTTTAAATAAACTAAAATGGTAATATAGTATTCTATTTTTGACAACTAATCAAAATATTTAATTAAAAGTTTTAGATGGAAATATTCAATTAAAAGTTTTTTATGGAAATATTTAATTAAAATTAGTTACCTAGTATATCAATTACTTAATATATATTGTATTTTAAAGACGTTTGTGAATCAAAGTGATAACGTTCACAATATTTCACATGTATCACAATATATTTTAATAGTGTTGTAAAATGTATCATAGTGTGCATTTTCGTTATTTTTATTGATTTATAAAAGGTATCGCATTGTACATCTTGTATGTATATATGAGTATTCCAATGAATATCATTTGTATGTATCACAGTGTATATATTGTGTTCACATAAAATTTATTAGAATAAAGTTCACGGATAAGATTTGATGGAGTGAGGAAAGAGGAGAGATGAGAACTTTAATTTTAAGAACATATGGACGAAAAATGCAACTTTCAACAAACCAGAGGGATGAAAAATTGTAGTTTACTCTGTTTTTAATACCAAAATGGTGGATAATCTGATGTTTTACAGGGGTGATTTATAGCAAGTTTTTTCTTAATGGACTAAAAGTGAAATTTAGAGAATGATGGAGGACCATTTTTGTACATCCGTCAATGAAAAGCACGCCTAAAAAATCCAGGAGATGCCGGAGTCACCGTCACATAGCGTTGGGCACACGGGAGTACACACGCCGGTGGACGAACAAAAATGGCGACGGCTAATAGGAATCCCGAAATCAGGACGGATGCAGTCAACAACCGGTGGGTGATTATATCACCGGCTCGATCTCGCCGTCCGTCGGACTTCAAATCTAAATCCCAATCCAAATCCGACTCAAACCCGAGCTCCAACGCCCAACCGCAGTGTCCATTCTGTGCCGGAAACGAGCACCAATGCGCACCGGAGATCTTCCGAGTACCTGAAGATTCCACTTCCGATTGGAAGGTTCGAGTGATCGAAAACTTATACCCTGCTCTCAGCAGGCATCCTGAAGTCAAATCAGACCACGAGGAATACTGTCAGGCCAACGGCACCGCCGGTGAAGTGACTTTAGGTGGATTCGGATTTCATGACGTTATTATTGAGTCGCCGGTTCACTCGGTTCACTTGTCGGATTTGTCGCCAGAGGGAGTTGCAGTTGTTTTGCTTGCTTATAAGAAGAGGATCGAACAGCTTTGTGCTGTTGATTCAATCAGTTATGTTCAGGTATTCCTCTTCATCCCTCCCGTTTCAGAATTCGTAATGCTTGCTGACTAGCAATCAACTTAACTCGAGAATTCAAAATTCTTACGGATTCATAAGAATCCAATCTACTGTTATCACAAGTTAAATAGAATCCAATATATTTTAGGATTTCGAAATGGATCGTATAACGAAGACCAGGAATCGAGATAATACTAAACTTACAACCTTGATTTTGCTAAAGTATCTGTTTATGTTCATATTACCTCTTCTGTTAGATTTTTTTAATGCAACCACAATCTACTATTGGTTCAAGGGACCCGGGGGGGGGGAGTACTACACGATTATAATTTGATGGAATGCTCGACTGTTATTTGAACATTGAAATACAAAATAGAGGAATTTTATGGGCTGAGATGGATGTTTATTTTGCAAGAACCACGAACTAGCAAAGAGATGATTTTGGATTGATGTCCAAAAAGGAAATTTGACCGGAGAATCTGAATCACATAACAAATCGTTTTGCAAGTCTCTGGTTTGTTTGGGTGCAGACTTCGAAAGCAATTCAAGGCTTTTGGATTAAGAACCTGAACCGTAATTAGCTATATCGACTGTTTGTTAAAATAAATTGATGGGACACTTATTGCAACTTGATCAATTTCCATAAGACAGGCTTGCGAGCCCATATCGATATTTTGAAGTTTGAGCCATTTATCTGATTTGAGGACTGCCAAAGGTAATAGGTTTGTTTGAAAAGCACATAGAGACGAGTTTGTTTTCACTATTAGAAGTATGTTTTCTCTATTTCATGGTAAAGTCACATGTATTTAGGTGCCTTTCATATGACCGGAAGTGTTAGTTTAGTTGATTTAAACAGACATTGGAAGCCAGTGGAGAAATATCATTTGTAGACAATATTGGAAAGGCTGGAATCCTTCATATTTCAGAAGGGGAAAACAACAAACAGTATATACCTAGCAACTATAACAAAAGACACGTATGGTCCCTCAACTATACATTTGTACATAGAGCTAACCCCCTCTTAAACTCAAGGTGGATCATGAGAAACCAACTTGAATTTGTGAGTGTGGCTTGAGAAAGGCCTGGAAGGAGGGTCTTAGTTAAGATGTCTGCAGTCCGACAGTGGAGGAGACTGGAACAAGAGGAACAATGTTGCCAATTACATGTTGGCAGATGAAAAATGACATTTGGTCTTGATGTGCTTGATGAGAAATGTGAATGGCACTGTGGTTGTTACACCTAACAACGGTGGGGGATGACTGAGGTGCTCCCATATCAGACAGAAGCCATCATAACCATAGTAATTTCTGGGTGGCATTAACAATAGTGTGATGTTTTGTTTAAGTACTAGACTGAGCAATGAGATATTGTTTCTTGTTGCGCCAAGAGACGAGTGAATCACCAAGAAAGTAGTAACATATTGATGGACCGATATAATGGAGATGTGTGCCTAAAAGAAACAGTATATTGATCAAAAAATCCAAAATCAGAAGAGCGATTGGGTTGAAAAAAAAAGTAAAAGATTTGATCAAGAATATCACCATCCCATTCAGCAATAGAAAAGGCATCAAGTTTGAGAGATAACGAGGAATAGAAGTACAAGCCATGAGACATGGTGCCTTTGACATACCGTAGAATCTTCAAGACAACAATATAGTGAGAAAGCTGAGATGCAACCATGAATTAGTTGACAATGCCAACTGGAAAGGCTTGATCAGGTTGTGTGACAGTGCGCAAACCAGAGAACCCACCAACTGGCAGTAGAGCGTAGGGTATGAGGAGTAGTGAACCATGACTGGGTATGAGCCGGAAGAGATATATAAGAGGTCTTGCTCTTAGTAATACCTGCACGAGAAAGATGGTCGAGGACATACTTGGCTTGACATAGATAAATGCCAGAATCTCGTGACAAGACCTCAAGACCAATAAAGTAGAGGAGCGGTCCTAGATCCTTCATCTCAAAATGTTGGAGTGATCCTTTCAATTCTGCAAATACTTCATGCATCAATGTCTATAATGTCCATATCATCAACAGACAAGAGGAGAAGGATGGTACTCGAAGCAGTAATTTTGGTGAAGAGATGAGAGGCATGATGGCTAGCAGAAAATCCCAACGAGCACACAGTAACACTGAACTTCTCACCAAAGGGTCACTGGCGCGGCGATACCTGGTAACCCCACCTTTCCGGAGGTCAGGGGTTCAAGTCCCACCAAAGGTGAAAAGTGTGTGAGTTCAATTTACCATATATAATATTATGTACTTTAAAAAAAACACACTGAACTTCTCAAACCATGCCTACTTCAGTAGGGAGCTTGCTTAAACCCATATAGAACTTTGCATAGGCTGAAGACATGATGAGAAGGATACGGGACACCCAGGTGTGGCTTCATATACTCTTTAGATAGATCTTCATCAAGAAAAACATTTTTCACATCCATCTGGTAGAGGGGCCGCTTATAAAAAACAAGGAAAGCTAGAAGACTACAAAGTGCTACTGGGCAAAGGTCTCTTAGTAGCCTTAGTCTATACCATTATTCTGACTGTAAATCTTCGCAACCAGTCGAGCTTGGTTTTTGATCTTGTAAGACATCAGACTTGGTTTTGATCTTGTAAGCCCATTTTGAAGTGAAAAACCCTTTTGCCAGAGAAAGTGCAACAAGTTCCAAATGTGAGCTTCAGCAAGAGCTTGCAATTCATTAGACATAGCTTGCTGCCAAAAGGGGCAGTAGACTAGTGTTCCATGAAATGTGTCAATGGTCATATTTGGGTATTGAGAGAAATGATAGAAAGAGAGATTACCAGGCAAGAATCGATGTTCGATGTTGACCGGGAGACTGGGAGAGTGAGAGACCATAGATTATAAAACAATAATGATATCACCTTGTGCTCTCATACCATATTAGTTTAGTTGATTCAAATAGAGATTGGAAGCCATTGAAGAAACACTCTCTGTAACGGAAACGCTGGAATCTTTCGTGTTACAGAAAGCAAAAACGACAAAACAATATAGACCTAGCAACGATGAACAAAAGACAAGTATGATCACACAACTATACATATGACTATGAGCATATAGCTAACAGCAAGCATACATGCATATATACAGAATGTATGCATAATGCCACAACATTTCATATGGTCTATTCTGCGTTCAAATCTCTTTATTCATCACTTAACAGTTTTCCTTTTTTTTAAATACAATTGTTATAAGCTGGTCTTTATGACGATTTTGTGTTATGAAGGTGTTCAAAAACCATGGTGCCTCAGCTGGCGCTTCCATGAGTCATTCACACAGTCAAATTCTAGCTCTTCCAGTTGTTCCCCCCACTGCCTCAACTCGTCTCGACAGTATGAAAGAATACCATAATCAAACAGGAAGGTGTAGTCTTTGCGATATTCACACAGACAAATTTTTAATCGATGAATCCACCCATTTCATTTCCATTGCCCCATTCGCCTCAACTTTCCCTTTCGAGATTTGGATTGTTCCTCGCCATCATTCTTCTCACTATCATGAACTTGATGAAGATAAGGTACTTCACTTACTCCATCAGACCCAAAATAAATATATACCATGAAAAAAGCACATTGTTTTAGAAATGTGTAATTATTACGTTTTTTAATCAACTAGATTGACAACTTGACAAGCTTATCTTAATAACGGAGGGAGTAATGGATTTCTCCATCTCATACCTAAGGGTAAAATCGGAAAGCAAACAATTTTGAAAGTGGACACTTATTTTGAGACAAACTAAAATAGAAATGTGAACGCTGGTTTTAGGACAAATGGAGTATTATATTTGTTATTTTTTTGTCAGATTTCGTTTATAAAAAATGATGATTGAAGAATATTCATGACGCATTTTTGCAGGCTATCGATCTTGGAGGATTACTGAAACTTACACTTCTAAAGTTGTCCTTACAGTTGAATGATCCACCCTATAATTTTATGATTCATACTTCTCCTCTTCAGATGACTTCCTCTCAGTTACCTTACACTCATTGGTATATACAAATCGTGCCACAGTTATCTACGATTGGTGGTTTTGAGATGGGAACCGGGTGTTACATAAACCCTGTTTTCCCCGAGGATGCTGCAAAAATTCTTAGGGAGGTAGAGGTTCCGAAAAAGGACTGAGCTCATTATAGATTCGTAGGGAGATGTAACGTAGAGAATCCGGTCATGGAACAATACTAGTTACATGCTATTGAAGTATGTTTGTTCATAACATTGTAACATTCTATTTGCTTTCATAATGTGCTAATCTTTGTTCATTTTACATGTTTGCTCACACCGGAAATAACAACTCTACTCTTTAGGGTAGATGTCAGGCTTGAGTACCTCCCCCAAACCCTACTTTCAAGTGGGATTTACTCGGTTGATTTAGTTTCGTTTAGGTTTGTTCTCTTTACTGTTACAAACTTTGTTTCTTCTTCTCCTTGACATGGGTGGATGCTAAGGTTGAACAAGGTTCGATCCGGTTCATTTTGGTGGTATTGAGATAGTCCCACCTTGACAAAGGTAAAACCTATTCTCTTTCGGTTTTGATTTAAGGCAAAGGATCGTGCGAGAAGCGTAAGAAGGGATTTGGACCCCTGATCACCTTTAATCTCAAACCCACCCATGAATCGTGTTTGATAAGGTAATTGATCCGGTGCATCTCAATGCATCTCAGTCTAATGTGTACCCAAAGGTGGATATGCCTTTTTAAACTTCTCACCTTAACCCTTCTTCTCACTAAAACTCAACCCTTCGATTTAATGCAATACATGTTTTATCTTTAATTTGTATAAGAAGAGTGCCTTGCTCAATTTGCAAAGGTAAACCATGGCGTTTGGTATGCAAGACAGAATGAGATATGAATGAACAAAAACTTGTTATCCGATGTTTGGTACGACATTAGACTGGGATAGGATGAGAGTGACCAAAATAGGTGAAACAAAAATTAGGAAAATGGGATAGTATGTAAATTACCAAACTATCCATGTCAAAAATAACAACCCTACGGGAGTGATCAAAATAGGTGAACCAAAAATTAGGGAAATAGGATTATATGTAAATTACAAAACTTTCCATGTCAAAATTATAACCCTAAAACCACGTTTGGTATGACGATAGACTCTGATACGATGGGAGCGACCAAAATAGATGAACCAAAAATTAAGGAAATGAGATAGTATGTAAATTACCAAACTATCCATGTCAAACTTACAACCCTAATACCTTTCACAATTCTTTCACTCGTCTACCTTAATTTGTCTGAACAAGAAAGAATTCAAATACGTCTGCATTGAAGCCTATCATGTTACTTGGATGCAAGGAGACACTCTTTTGAAAGAACATAGCAAAAAATTTCATGGATGCTTGCCACAAATCTAAAGAACTTGACAAATGAAATTTCATCAAAACTACAACAAACTCCTTTTACAGAACTGGAGATCAAAACTATGTCGGAACGAGGTTGCAACCGTCATCTAGATCTCGAACCAACAAGAAACAAACAACTGCAATCAACACAACAAATAATCCAGAAGCAATGCTGACACCAGACCATGTCCGAGGTTTCACATCCGTTTCAGGAACAACTTCTTCAGACGGCTGCAAATTCGTATTCCCGTTCGTAATCGGAGGGATAATGTCTTCAGTAGAAGACACCGACTCCGAGGTACCATTAAACTGTTCATCTTCATTTGTTAAACTCTCACTTTCGATCCCGTTTTGATCATAATAAGGGCTTTTGAATCTTCTGCTTTGGTTCTCTGATGGAACTTGAAGAGACTTCACCAGTTTTCTGGGAGTCGCGAAGAGGTTCATGTTGTCGATATTAAGGTACGATCTTGATCTCTGAAACAAAATCCACGAGCGTTAGATACATGAAAAGTGTGTGTGTGTGTGTATTATAGCAAAACTCACATACACTGCTTGAACCACTGACCACCAGGGAGATTGGGATCTACCTGTATACTGGTGAGCCGATGACCCTTTGGTTAGATATACCGGTTAACAAGGATCTAAAAAGAGTGTGTACATTAGATTCACCTGAGGACTAGGAGTGGCGCTTCTCGAGTCGCCATTAGTTGTGCTACTCTGCATGAACCCCGAAAATCCGTCTGCATAATCATTATGCTCGGAGTTTTCAATCACACTCCTAGGAGTGCCCATCTCACCCGAAAACAATCCATCTTTCAGGGAGACATCCACGGTGCCATCTTCAAACCTCCTCCAGAGTTTCCGATTCACACTTCTGTCGGAATTCTCATCTCGAGATGCAAAGCTAATTGAAAATGGCGAATATGCCATTGAAGCATAGTCGTCGTAAGAATCCATTGTTTGTGATTGAGGCGATCGAGGCGATCGAGGCAATCGAGTGACAGGTGATTGGTCTCTTTTCCGCTCATATCTTGATCCTTTCTCGATCAAGATTCTTTTTGCCGTTTGTATTGCTTCAAAAGCCGCCCCTTTAACATACGCCATTTGATCATCGTGACACTTCTCCAATTCTTCGATTACAAAGCTCAGTTCCGACATAATACACTTGTAATCGAGACTCCTCATCAGAAAATTCACCATTTGGATGGCCGACAATCGTTTCTGAGAGTTCCCTTCAGCGATACCCATGTTCAAAATCTCGAGACCAGACCGAACCAACAATCTCGCATATGCTTCCACGACCAAACCATTATGCTTTGCTAGCGACATAACCAAACCCATATGCGAATTCGCCTGCATCGGCTTCTCCAAAGCCGCAGCAACTCTTTGACAAACCTCGTTCACCATATCGCTAGACGAAAACCGCCAGTTGTCCGAATCCACAAGCGCTTTCAGGCAGAGGGCAGCACCCGACGATAAATTCTCTTGGCTCGATAAAAGAGAATCCGAAAGAGGTTTACAAAGAGATCGAATAATTTCCCGTTTCTTGTCATCAGGTGTCGTGGGATCCATTCCGTATCGCGCGATCGCGGGGACCACCTTTGAGCAAGCCTGATGAAGAGCAAACGAGCCCGCACTAGCAGTCAAAGTCTTGATGATAGTCGACATGATGTTGTCGATCTGAGATACGATTTTGGTGCCATGAACACGAGCAAGAACCTCGTAAAGCGAGATCGTGTATTCACCGGATGTTAATCCGGTCTCTTTAGTCTCGGAAACTTGAGCAAGAAAGATCGGAATCGCCTTCGAATCCAAATCTTTAACGTATGATTTTAGCGCTTTCATCGCTGATTTTCGACTATCTGCGTCTTTATCGAGATTTTCCAACTCGCGTCGTAGCACCGGACTCAAATTCCGTCCCATTTGATAAGAAAAAGAACTGCAACACAAGCTACACAAAACCACGTTATATTTGCTTGTACCAAACACACATTGTATTGTTTTCAATTCATGTAGTAAGACGCTATATTTAAGCACCAATTATACCGTCATTCACATATGAAGATATCATAAATGATATTAAAATGGTTTGATGAATATAAAGTAATAAATTATAATTGATATTAAAACGATGTAATAAATAATAAAACATTAAATTTAGTGTAACGCTGTTTATTTACATTATTTTTTAGATTTTAAAATTTCAAAATTAGAAATTTGAGATTTATGTATGTTTATTTTATTTTATTGTATGATGACAATTATAATTTACTTCTTATATTTACAAGTTAATGTTTAATTTTTATGCAAACCATTTTATTTATATAAATCGTACAAACCTCATTCAACTAACCATAATTTTTCATTATGTTCATTTTTTTGTAATAATGAGAGGTTGATTAATCATTTTTATATATTAAAAATGAATATTATCATCTTCATTATATCAATATTAGATAAATATATGAAACAGTTTATTAAAATTTTATAAGTATTATATGAAATAATTTCATGAATTTTTTTTTATAAGATTAAAAAAATGAAATCGAGAAAAAAATAGTGACTAAAACTTTTACTGAAATAGAAATTTTATTTCAAAAATGACTAAAAACTGGATTTGATTGAGAAATTCGAATATGTTGGTCAATTTCCATACAATAAACCCTTTTGTTCATCCGCTACTGATAAGTTTTGAATCAATAAGCCTTATGGACAAATCGACACAAACATATGAATCAAAAAATACCCAGGGTTTAAATGTGCTATTGATTATAACAAGATTTTGAGTTCATAACAAGAAAACTGGAATTTCTAATAAAATTTCAAGAAAAAACAAAACCAGAAATGTAGAGAAATCAAGAAGGATTCTATCTGATGTGAGCCGATCAACTATATTTGTTTTTATCAACAAGGCGTACGATTGAATAAAATAGATCTAGAAAACACCGGTTCTTTGTGGGCATTTCATGTCTGAAATCACGACCTTCGATTTTAGTTCACGAACATCGAGATCCAAACACGAATTCAGTAGAAAAACTCCAAATTCTAGCAATTAGTTTTCAAAAGTATGTCACGAACATCGAGATCCAAACACAAATTCAGTAGAAAAACTCCAAATTCAAGTAACAAGTGTTCTTAAGATTCAAAGAATCGGTACCTGTGTGATTCGAAGCTGCTTTCGCCTTAATCTTCCATGAAATCGTAAAAGATCTCGAGAAGAAAAGGAGCCTCTGAGGTTTCGATTATTGGCGAGAAAGATTTGGAGATTAATCGACTGTTTATATAAACAGGATCAAGAAATTAGTGTTGACTGAAAGAGATCGGATTGATTGGGATGAAGATCTTGGAGCACCGAGGTTCTCGTTGGAGTGTAGTAATTGATCTGTGTTTTAATTTCCCCCCTTTTCTAGTAGTGATTATTCGTTTTAGGGTTTCCATTTAAATTCAAATATTTTCCCATAATTCCAATCCTACCCCTCCTACCCTCTTTGTGCGTTGACAACAATACATCCCCCGTATGTATAAGTTGGCGAAATATAATTATTTGATAATTGTGTATAATGAAATTAGGGTTTTTAATAATTAAGGGAGATTCATGATACAAAATCATTCAGAAAGTTTTAGAATCATTAAGAGACAAACTTTTTTTTTGCCAAACAAGATTCACCTTTTAACGATTCAGAGATTGACTCTTAATGAAACTATTAAGAGATAAACAAACAACCCCTAATCTAAATTTAATATATATATATATATATATACACACACATGTTATAGATTCTTCATATGATTTTATATATGCATCTTAAATGAATTTTGTCTACGATCCGCATATGAACTTTTATTTAATCTTTCTCTGTTATTTTTTTTAGGATATTTAGCATTTTTATTTTGAATCGATTTCTGTATATTATTTAAAAAACAATAGCATTATTTTCAATGGGTGTTTCAATCTGCTTTGGTATGATTTTTCCAGTCTTTATCGTGGTTCAAAACTTTTGTCTGACGTCATATTAAGCCTATACCATACCATAATCTAATGTACTATTATTCACATGTGCATACCATCTAGATGAATGATCAGTTAGTTACAGAGTGTTTCTCAATTTATCATTTTTTTAGATGTTCTATGACCCCCCCCCCCTTTATATACATATATGTGTGTGTAGAGAGAGATTCATACGAGAACGATATCTAAATAAAAAAATAAAATAATAATTACAGGTCAAATCATTTATTTGGATCATGACTTAAATGAAACTTTTCTTAAAAATCGTCCAAGATGGTTGTGTCATTTGTTGTACACGGGTTATAGGGGTGTTTGAGATTGCTTATAAAAACAACTTATTGACTTATTCTTGTGTAGTATCGTTAATAAACACTTTTGAGTGTTTTGATCATATATGTTTATGTTTCATTGTTTTTATTTTTCAATGTCAAATTTAAATTACACGTGATTAGAATTTTTTTTTTTGAAAAAAAATCAATTAATTATGAATCACGTGATATTGACGAATATTGTAATTTTTTAGAATATTACCTTAAATAAAAAGTAAATTCTTTAAATAAAAAATTAAAGACACTTATTTTAAAAGCAT